AGAATTAGCGATTGCGAATTAGAAACGATCGAAGCATTTAAAAAGTAATGTGGAACATATAGCCAAATTTTATGGAAATTGGAAAGGAAAACCGAATAAGGAATTGGATTTGCCTACATTTCTGATAATGTCTGATAACCGGTCAAACATAGATTCTATCTGATCGCATTTATTTGCAACCGAAGCATACGCTATCCTCGAATCTCTCCGATAATGACAAATAAACAATTCCCGTCAAGCAATTATATTCACCTCGTGTGGACTGTGTGAATAACCACTGAATGACTGTGATCAATGCCGTATGAGACTGAAATAATAGAAAATATAGAAAAGATCTACAGAGAACTTAACAATAGCGGCAAACTTGTAATCGATACATGGATTATGGTTGTGGCTTCTCATCAAGGAATAACGGTGAATCTCTGCCAGGATATTACCATTCGGCGAATAAAGATTGGAACATAAACTGAATCACGACAAGGAAAACTAAAATATGCGAGATTATAGAAATACCGACAAAGCCGACAAATGCCTACGCATAACAAAACCTGAAAAGAATATTATTTTTAAACGACAGTTCGTACGAATCCACGAACGAAATTGCTCCATCACCCTTAGTTTTCGAAAAATATGAGTTCTTCTAAAAACGCGTGCGTTTTTTTTTGGCTAAAATGAAGGATTTCCTAGCGTATTTTTGCATTTTTACTAAAAATTCTTTATTTGAAATTTGCTGTACGGTATCGTTTCTGTAGACTTCTCGCAAGAAGAAATCATCCAGAGAAATTGTCGTGATGATGTTTAATGTTGCCAGGGCGGTAAAATATAAATCTGGAACGCGTAAGTTGTGTTTTGCCGCCACGCAGCCACTACTTGCGTCTCTGATGTGATAAACCCCTACGATCCTACTTTCAAACTTTACTTCCCCTGCCCGAAATTATCAACCTCCTGCATAGTTATCTCGCGTCATACCCAAAAATAGACTTCTTATCCTAAAATTTAACCCTCTTCGCAAACGCTTCATCCAATTTCCCATGCCAATAGACATCTTATCTTGAAACTAACCCTCTCCATAAACATCCTACCTCGATTTTCCAAATGCCCTATCTTAAAACTAATCACCAACACCCTATCTCCATTCCCCACGACAGACTTATAGCTAGAGAATAAAACAGTCTTAAGCATACCATCAAACTATACGGAGTTTCGTTCAACCTTTACTCGCGAGTTGTACATGTCACTACGGTACATTATAATTGCGCTATTGGTAAAGACCTATTGATACTACGGTACAATAGATACGAATACTTGAATATCTCGACTCTTTGCATCGTCCGAACAATTCAACTTACAACTTGAACTTGTTAGTTCGAACAAACGTTCCAACTCGATACTTTATTGTCATCGGGAGTTCTTTGACTCCAACCATCTCTCCCGTGACACTGGACTCGGCATCAAGAATGAACCTCCTCGTTTTAGCTCAAATCGAGCGTTTTTCGTTCGTGAAAAATTCGTATTTTTCGAAAACTCAGAGTAATGGATTTATATCCAAATATGTATTATCGTACATTATCGTATATTATCGTATATTATCGTATGCGGATTTTGTATTCGAGAATGTAAGCTCTATAAGAGTTGCCCAATGGATATCACAAAATAAAATTCATCTTCTTTACGACATATCTGTTTCAGAGATTTCTAAAAACATGTGGAAATTTTTTGTTTATGAGATCAATAATAAGAAAGTAGTGAAAAAATTACAGTTTCACGAAGTTTTGTGCAAAATTGTTTGCTATGCGAACACTGTTTACGCCAACCGTATGTTGTAGAACTTTTCCCTTTGGCAAGCGTAGGGGCAGTCAGGCTTAGCCTCTGAGATCTTTGGAGAAAGAGAATGTTACTATTACGTTGACGTTCGCTTATGCATGTACGTATGAAGATATATATCATTGTTCGAAATAATACATGGTACTTCTCTCTCTTCTCTAAAATATCGAAAGACCGTGTAGCCATAAAATTATCTCAACAAGAACGTCAGGTTTGTTTAATTTCACGGTCGATTTTACTCGGTAACTTGATTGCTCTTTTAACGAAACAGAGACGATTACATACTTGTATACTACTCTATATTACCTAACGAAGAGTTAAATCCTCGAGTAGTAGAAGCAGTAAAACCTTCAAAACTACAAGTAGTATGTTCACAACAAGTAGCATATGAGAAAAAGAAATAGCTAGCATAAGCGAGGATAGGTCGATAGAAGTTTCTGAAAATTGAAGGGAACTGTAAAAAATTGGAAAAAAGAAAAAAAAAACGTAGAGAAGAATGCTTAAATATCGAGGGGGAGAGAGGTATCTTAAAGGTTTATTTCAGAAAGTGTTTGAAATAAAGATGATAGCACGATAAATCGCAGCGATTCGTTTCACTTTCCTCTGTACCTTTGTTTCGTATTCTCCTCTTCGAATAACACACACATGTATTCGCGTACAATGATCTCCGGCACGGTAACAAAGCGATATTGGCTTATTAGAATAGGCTGAAGTTCACATTGGTAACAATGACAAGTAACAGATCGAATTCGAGATTTTTAAATTATGCAAACGCACCACATATTTATGGCAAACATGATCGTTCGTTTAACAAAATTTCCAATCTATCAACAGATATTTTCCTGGAAAACTCGATACCATGGAGAAACGATATCGGTCAACAATAATTACATACCGTACTTGGAGCAATACGGTTTTAAACGGTACAAACAACTTTTTCGTCTTGCGATTTTGAAGAGAAGGAGACGTGAAAGAAGTAAGTGTGAGAAATGAATGCAGTTAATGGTATGTAATACAGAATGTGGTAAAAAGCCCTTGCCCGAGGTTATAATTAAAATTCTTCATCAAAGATTCGGGCATTACCGTGAATGCCTTAAGTATACGAAAAATGATTATTCATCATAATCTTATATTATATATGTAGAAATGGTGAGCGTGGCGTGATTAGGGTATGAGGTCACCGTCTGTGACGGTGCCTTTTGTCTAGGCATGACTGTAAAGCGCGTGGGAACGCTTGGGCCCTTCCCCGAAAATAGGGGATAATAGACAGCCGTGTTGGAGTGCGTGCGCAAGGATCGTGTGGACGGTGTAATGAGTAGATAAAGATTGCCCCATCTTAACGTCGGGTGATGACACAACGGTGTATATAAGATCGGGTTCAACTCGAGTGTTTGGCGCGAAAAAAACAAATGATAACGGCAAATCCTTTTGTAGGGATGTCTGTAGAATGATTGAGAGAGAAAGCGTGTGTATAAGATGAGATAGATCTGGCTTTAAATAGGGATTCAAGGGCACGAGGCACATACTTAGATGGTGTGTAGTCGAGAATAGAGGATTGCGTGTTAGAGTTGAGAAGAATCTAGTGTGATATGTTAATTAAATAAACCTGTTTTATTATTGAAAAAGAAATTCTTCTATCAATTTTTCGCGTAACATCGGTTGCAAGTGAAGAGTGGAAATCTAGGAATGAATCTGAGTGTTTGGGTGAGAAAAGCGTGATTAGGAAAGAGAGCATGGGTATGAAAGAGGACAGAGTGTATGGTATAAATAAGGGTGCATGGGCGTGAAGCGGACAGTTCATCGAGGAGTTCTTTGAGAGGAGTTCTGAGGATGGCGTTCTTTGGGAAGAGTTTGTTGGGAGATAGTCAGTGTGAAAGGTCATAGCGTCTAGAATAAGTCTTAAATTAGTTTACAATAAATCATACTTTTTATTATCTACCACTGTCGTTTTGCTGCCTCCTAAACAATTCCTACATATATACTACATAAAAACGATTCGTACACCAAATATACAAATAGAAAATACTAAATTATAACGAATCTGTGAATCAGGAAGATATTTGGTTTTCATTACATCGATAATTAGGATAGATAATTAAGTCGATAATTAGATGAATAATTAGATGGATAATTACAAAGTCGGTTAAAGTAAAGTAAAGAATAGAGGTAGCGGTAAACATTAAGAATAAAAGCATGTTTAAATTTTTAAAAATTATAAAAAATGATTTTCCCCGATACAGCATAAAACTCTTTATTTGTATTACCTTTTACTTACTTACTTACTTACTTACTTACTTACTTACTTACTTACTTACTTACTTACTTACTTACTTACTTAGTGCCCACGGAAATTTATACCTGCTTTGTGCTTTTGACATTAAAAAAAAGGATCGACTTTTTCAAACCCACCGATAATCCCCTCTAAATTATCGATAACCAACTGTGAAACGCACGCTTAATCCGAGGATTTTCTTACATGCTTGCGATTATGCACACTCTGCTGACATCGATTAAGGATTTACTGATGGAAAATTACATTGCTTCAAGTTTCAAAATATAAAAACATGTCTCTGTATAGAACAAATCGGAATATAATTTGAAATGGAATATATCAGAACATTGTGCATACGTATATGAACGGAATATATAACCGAAAATGCTGAAC